CTCTCTCTCTCTCTCTCTCTCTCTCTCTCTCTCTCTCTCTCTCTCTCTCTCTCTCTCTCTCTCTTCCTTTGACAGAGATACAGGATCGCAGGTGCTGAAGAGAAGCTTACGATAACGGTGATACCATCGAGTTAGTCGATGTGGATATTTACTCGATATTATTGGAGTATCATTTTCGATATTGAGTGTATTTCTCGATATTTTTTATCCTCGATTGCGATTCGGCGGTAGACGGCACGAATAAAAAAAATCAGTCTACGGTGGACGACACATTTCTGAAACACACTGTATAATTTTATATAAATATTCTCTTTCAATCAATTATAAGAATACGACGAGCTTTTTGTAACTATTATTCGCCAGCGTATCGTTTGCATCCAATCGACCATGGTGTGTAACTTATTAAGGATGTTAACGATACTATGATACTAATATTAGAAACATTGATGCTCTCTCACCTTGATACATTGATATCGCTCCAATAATTTTTCGCCAATATTTTAATATCGTTATCGCGTGAAAACAATATTATTAACAGTATTATCTCTGTACATGAGGGGTCAATATAATTGTGTATAACATTACATTTGTCCGATATCAATTCGCTGAAGAGTATCAAACGTGATTAGAGGAAAACGCATTACTTCATCTCACGATAATTTAGTATGAGCCGTATAAGGAGAGTACTCCGATATCTCGATGTAACATCGCGCTTTGTGTAATCCGCTTAAATGCGCATTTAACTGCAATAATCCTCGGCTACCTCTGCAAAATATATTCAGGACTATAACAATAAAGCAATCGAGGATGTTCCGAGATACGAGTAAATAATGAACAGGCTTATCTTGGCGAGGACTTTACTGGGGAGCGCAATACTCTTTTAACGATATATATAATCCTTGTTCACAGATTTACTATATTTTTTATCGTTACACTTATCATATAGATATCAACATAAAACAATTACAGTGATATGTGACTGTATCCCGTCGCAATTTGTAAAAGATCACGAAATAAAAATCTTTGATAGAATGGGTGCAAGTCGACTAGATTCTTGCTCGACGAAAAAATACACAAGAATTGCAAAATTTTAGGGCGTAGAAAACCACTCACCATACTTCTTGGAAGATTCAAGCGACACTGAAAATTCGTCCAGTTTATCTAATAATCTCGTTGAGACCGCATGAAATAGCGCCGTTTCATGTAAAAGGGAAAGAAGTTCGGGACGGTAGAGTCGAGTGCTTCAGGATTTATGATGCAAAGAAGATACATCGTGTACTGAAACAGAATTTTTATTAAGGGACGAAAGAGCTTCGCTGTTCTGTCCCTTCACAGGAAACAAAATTGACATAACGGTTTATTAGATCGGGTTTGAGCTAACAGAATGGTAAAGACAAATGAAAAAAAAAAAAAGGACAATGTTTTCTTTACATATAGTCACGCACAAACCCATCTTTACAATTTAGAAAAAAAATATCGTAATACTGCTGGAACAAGAAACAGCTTGTAAGTTTGTTGATTTCACACGAATCAGAGACCGTCTCCGAAATTGTAACACAGATAACGGGAATAATTGTCTTGACAAATGCACATAAAAATCAGAAATACAGAGTATTCCATCTGCGTACAATCACGCGTGAGTCGCGAGTTATTTGTAAATGGAGACGCAAGTTGCATAACACTACGAAGTCGTTTTGCTACGTATCGTTCATTCAGTTGTGTGACGCGTGTCCTTTCGTTTTTTTTTTTTTTTTTTTTTTTTTTTTTTT